ATTGGTTGATTGTATGCTTTTCAGCACCCTCACTCTTGGTTACCCAGGAAGATTGCTGTGATCCAGACAGACAACGGCTTCCACCCGCTCGCATGCACCAATGGCTTCTCCCCTCCTCGTCTTCTGCTGGGCTCCTTCTTTCGGCAACAACATCACCCCGTTTCTTCAGTTTCAACGCGCCCTCCCCCTCCACCGCCTCAGGCTCCACCAACAAGTCCAGCTCTTCACCCCGACGGCGTCATTTTGATCGGCAACACGTTCCAGGCGACGGTGGCGACGGCCACGGAGGCAAGTCGGCTCTAGGGATGGCGTTTTTTGAAGCCGGTGAGGAGGTGAACGCGATCAGTCAACTAGTTGCATTTCGTCGTGCGAAATCTTGTCGCAGACTGAATGAAAAGGCCTCGGAGGTGGAGAGGCCCCTGTCTGAGTTGTCGTCACCGCCGCCGCCACCGTCTTCTGATGCCCCACTGCCATCAACTGACGACGAGCCCAACCGCGTACGGCATCCCAGCCTCCGTAGACTGTGGTTCCACTAACCATCCAATAAAAACACGCACACACACATGTCCAAGACATCTCTACTTCCTCCTGTCGACGAACGATCCCCGCGCCTCGCTGAATTTCGATTTTGGCCTTTTGAGTTGTGACCTTCAGCTCGTCGAGTGTTGGTAAGAACTGTTTTCACACTGACCAATGATGTGTTTTGATGGAAGTCACAGCAACCAATTGTCTTCCGGTAAGCCTCTATCGAAAGTTCACTACAAGATTACGGTCACTCGTTTCTTCTGTAGAAACGTGTTCAAAATGACATTCTTTTTTTTTAATTTTAGGAATAGTACCACTAGATTTTTCGATTTCTTTTAACTCTTGGCCTTTTCATCACTGCCACAACTGCCGCCTCCCGAGTAGAACCGGGCGATTCCACTTTTAATGATCGATTTCAAGTCTTCTCTGTTCCCGAATATTCTTTCTTGCTTCCATCCTAACGCCTTGCCTCCTCCCTCCCGTACCCTATCTCTCGTCAGAATCGCAACGGATTTCTAAAAGCTGTACAAAGTTTACGACAACGCTCCTACCAGCCAATCAGTGCTTCCCCTGCTATACCCTCTCCCCTTCCCCCCCCCCACCCTCCACAGACGCAGACAGAGCGGACTTGCACACACCCACCCACCCAATTACAAACTTTTGTGCTAGTGTATTCAAAGCATTTTTTGCGATCTGTCGGCCAAATAAACCCATATCGAAACAAAGCTGGCGAATTCCGAAGCAAACACTGTGACTTTGTGTGCTAGCCGATGAACCTGGAATCCGACAACAAGTCGTGATCAAACTAACTGCAGTCAAGTGCGATGGAGCCAGGTGTGATCGGCGTGGGATCAGCGCTAGCATCATTAACGACCACACCGAATTGGTTCCGGGCAAATCACCTCGGGTCTTCGTCCTCTAACACTCTTACAAAGAAATTAGTGAGGTAGCATGAGTCAGGAGTAATGCGTGGTTCTTCGATGCACACAGTGCCTGTGAAAGTATCACCAAAAAAGAGTTAGAGGGCTCTCATGGGAGCTGGCTATTGATTGGGCGAATTAGGAATCTGAAGAGGCCTGTCTAACCGCTTGACTCCTGTGGATTCGAATACCCGATGTTAAAACATCGTAGACATCAATTTGCGCTCGAGAGGAACGCCATAAAACATCAAAAGTAGACTCATGCAATGACGTCAAGCAATTCAGTCCACTCAACTACCAACACGCTGTTCACGCTTTTAACTGTTGACCTTAGGTAGCCAATTGTAAAAAGCGCTCCCCTCGGAATTCGATAAGATCCGTGGACAAAACCCTTCGGTCGCAAGGACATTCATTTAAACGAAATGAATAAACCACTCGAGCGGCGAACCCCAATAGGTAGATGTCTGCTTCCTCTTACCGTAACGTAATACTACGTACCAAACTGCGGTTAGGGGCATTAGCATAACGAGAAACGAACAAACATGAGACACGAGGAGCATCTAAAAAGGACTAAACAGAAGTGGGATAAAGCGTCTCGAATAAGGTCCGTGTCAAGCGAAATTCTCGAAAAAAGGGCGGTAAAAATTAGATCCAATTTAGGGCGAAGTGAATATGACAGTGTTCAGGAAGGACAAAGAGGAATTTGGACAACAGCTCTGCTATGAGGGAACGATTCTTTGGCATCCGCGATCAACCGATGGATCCACAAAGAGGAAAGCCAAGGCCACGATTCGAGATGCTGCGACTACCAACAGAAACAGGAGCGTTCTCACGCTAAGTGATAAACCATAGAATGTGACGATTTTGTGTGAATGATGAAATTTAACGTAAGTAGGCAATCTCGACTTCAAATGATGCCCTGATTTTAAGAAAGGCACCAGGATCAGGCCCAATTTTGCACAAGTACCCGTCGTCATTAGTAAAAAAAATCAAGCAAACAGAGGAAGCATAGCGCTTTGTTGTTCTCAACATTAAAAGCGAACCAATGCACAACTGGAAAGTGTGAAAGCTCGACACCGGTTTCTGAAATGTCTCAAAATGCTCGTATTCTCCGTTACAGAATACTCATTTTTAGGTACTGCAGGTAACGGCGTTCATCTCGGTTGCAAAGGGGCGATGAAAATGACTGAGGAGAATAGAAGTAGGGTCACTTCAGCCGGAGCTAAACTTACTTCATGCGCAATTTTCATAATTCTTTAAACACACGAAAAGTCAGTAGAATGAAGAAGAGTAATATTTTGAAACGATGAGAAACATGGATTTGGATGATGTAAAAAGCCATAGTGTTTTATCGCAAATATTAAGAACTTCCGTTAGATTCAGCATTCTTTTTTGCCTGTTTTGCTTGAAGAGCGGCCGCGTCCCTAACAAAATAAAGTAGAGACTACCAAACAAACCTTTGGCGCCTTTCTTCAAGGGTAAGTCCCTTGTTGGCGGCTTTGTCTTTAGCGCTAGCCTTTTTCTGGTTTTCTTTTTGTTTTTGCTGGTTTTTCTGGCGAGCTAGTTCCCGTTGATTTCCTCCTAAAAAAGGTGAATTCAGATATTTTGAAATAAACTTACGGGCCATGAGGGACCACCTACACGTAACACCACTTGATCGAAAAGTGAAGTTAGCGCAGAATAGGCAAATTCCTCTTTTTACTATTGGTTGAAATTTAGGTTTAAGATTAACCAATAAAAATAACATATTTCAGAGTAATATCATCTTTCGTGTTCAGAGGAAAAATTATTACCAGTGATACATTTTAGTTACAAGTATACAGAATCCAATGTCAAGCAATTATATTAAAAAGATTATACTTCAGAAAAAATTACCTAGTGCATATATTTTTGATTTATGGATCCTAAATCGGAGTATGCAGTTAATGGTTATCTATTAGATCTGTAAATTTCTTTACAAATATTCATTTAAATGCTGGGTCTATATAACTTACAATTTCTGCAGTAAAATGTTAATGATACGTGTTCATTCCTTGGAAATTAAAAATCTAATAAACTTGATCCATTTACCTCGACTTAAAAATTATAACCTACGCTCAATATTGATGCCTTGATTTTGAAAGCGCGTAATGGCTTGCATCTGCCTTTTGCTGTTTTTTCTTTAAATTTTAATGTCTTGATCACTTACCCATATTTCGTTCTTTAAAAAAGCTACTGAAATTATATTTTTTGTCAGTATTTAATTAGATAGTCCCACTTTTCTCGATTTCTTGAAGCCAAAATTTACAGCACTGTCTTGACTACAATTAGGCCAACTCCGATGGAAAAAACGTACCATAAATGTCGTCAAAAGTATGTCGATCATCAGTTTAGTTTTTCAATTTATTTCCTAATAATTTTTCAAGATTTCTAGCACTTTTCTAGATTGAAAAGTTAGACTTAATTTACGAAGAAATGCGTCATCCACGTGAAGTTTTGTTCTATTTTAAATGCAGTACAATCTGGTTTAAAACCTACATTTTCAACAACATTTATTATTTCTTCAATGTGTAAGTAAAATTGCGTTTTGGAAAATTCAGTTACCGTAAAAAATTGCAGTGTGAAATATTATCAGGAAAAAATTCGTTTTTGATTTTGACTCTCTATTAAATCGAAACCTTGCAAAATGGAAAATGAGAGCTGTCAATAGAGTGTACAAAGTCGAAAAACAGCAAAATGGGAAGAAAGAAGAAAATGGGTTTGCGGATGAACAAATAAACACCAACCTCCATAATTTTTTTGCAAACACCTAAAAAATGTTGTCCTGAAAAATGTCCGGATCGAATGCACAAACAAATTTTTACAGGAAATGGAGCTATTTCACTGTTAGCATTGTATTTCTCAGCAAAAGTATGCATAAACTATCTCTTGTTACGTTACAGCAAGCTTTGTTGTAATAGTTCAATGTTTGATCCTAAACGAGTTGAAATGCAAGTAAAGTGAATGTTTATATGTAACCCCTATGCATTCACAATCACTTCGTAATCGATAAGCTAATTGATGGACCCTTTTTAGTAAGTCGGTTTTGTGAACAAATATGCCCAGTGACTGCATAATAATTATTTTCTGATCTAATCTAGACAATTTAAAGTCACAAGTTGTAGGGCTGACTGCATAATCAGGAAGAGGATAAGACAGTCACTGTCGGCTGTGGCTACAAAGTATTTTTGTGCACTTGTATTTGGAATTGGGTTTTTTAACAATTAATGATTTTGAAGTCAAATGTTTTTAAGGTCTAGTAATAATGATGCATGGCTCAGGCAAATATTCATGAAGTGTTTAATGGTTGACATTTAGTTAGACGCTTTAAATGCCAGCATGATTAATTACATCGCGTTTTTAGTGCTTACTTAGCATAAAGTTGCAGAAACCCTTAGTGGCCTAAAGGCACCTCTATTCAAACTATTTTAGTTTACTGTAAATTGATTTCCTTAAAATATTCGCAGTGTCTGTTATCAATTAGACCAAAGCACCGCGGTGAATCTAAAAATAATTTTCTGTATTGTAACTGTAATGAGGAACGAAAAAAGTTGGTTTGTACAATGTTGTATACTCTTTTTTGAAGTAATGGGTCTATTTGATTCCTAGTAGAAATTTCCTTTACATCCAATGCTTATTTGGTTTAGAAGGACCAATCAGAAGGCTTGAATATCTTACCTTCGCGTGATTTGCGCTCCCAGCCAGTCGTAACGTATTTAAGGCGGGTTTGAATGCTACTCGAGGCCTTAGATGTCTTCACCTCCACCGGCAAAAAGACAACATATTATTCAGTCCGAAGACACATTCTCACCAACTAGAAGTAGCTGCAATAATACTCTAAATCATAGTAATAACGTACAGTTACTTCCGGTTTTTTATATCACCATATCCTTGTAGGTTATGACGGTTAACGGTGAACCACCTGTTGACGAAAACTTGTACAGCCGTCAACTGTACGTTTTGGGCACTGATGGCATGCGAAAATTGACCCACACAAATATCCTGATCTCTGGTCTTTGTGGTTTGGGCCTGGAAGTCGCCAAGAACATCGTACTGGGCGGTGTTAAGTCGGTTACACTACACGACCCTGACGTTATATCGTCGGCTGATCTGTCATCCAACTACTATGCCACCCTACAGGATGTTGGCAAAAACCGGTGTGAAGTTTGTATGCCCAAACTGGCGGAATTAAATGGCTATGTCTCGCTTAATATTTTGGATTCGCCGGTCTTGTCGGAAGAAAATCTATCTAACTATCATGTCGTTGTACTAGCTAGAGGATCTTCAGATGAGTGGAGAAAAGTAGGAAAAATTTGTCGGTCACTGTCAATCAAACTAATTTGTACAAAAACGTGCGGTCTTTTCGGCCAAGTTTTCTGTGACTTTGGTGCTGATTTTACTCTGCTTGACCGTAATGGTGAGCAGCCGATCTCCGTTTTCATCCAATCTGTGGAAAAAGTATGAGTAAATTGGGTTATTATTCCGGATTTAGAGCAAAACAGGCACCGTTTTGTGCCTTGAAGAAACTAGACATGGTCTTGTCGACGGGGACTATGTCACTTTTAGTGAAGTCAAAGGAATGACAGAACTTAATGGTTGCAAGCCACGGGAAGTGAAAATTTTAGGTAAGTCTATCTTATTTTGGCTCAGTCGTAGGTCCTGACGCTTTTGCAATCGGTGATACCTCGGGCTTCTCTGATTACATCAGTGGGGGTGTTTGTACTCAGGTCAAAATGCCAGAACAAATTCACTTTGTACATCAATTTCCTCCTTCTAACTATTACCTTTTTAGAATGAGTTTTCAGATGCGTTCCTTTCTCCTGAATTTCTTATTAGTGATTTTGCTAAAATGGAGTCTCCGGCACAGCTTCACATTATCTTCGAAGCTTTTTCAAAGTTTCAGTCACAATATGGGCGCATCCCTGAGCCTTGGGATGAAAAAGACGCCCAGTCATTTGTGGAGTGCGTGAACGAAGTTAACAAAAGTGTTGAGGGGTCAGGTTGTCACGTGGAAAAGATTGACGAATCTCTGGCCAGAATATTTGCCTACATCTGTGCTGGTAATTGCTGCCCCATCCAGGTAGGATTTTCGGTCCGTTTAATCGATTCTTAGTCTATTATCGGGGGTGTCGTGGCCCAGGAGGTCATGAAGGCCTGTACTGGTCGCTTCCAGCCCATTAAGCAGTGGTTCTACTTTGATGCGATTGAATGCCTGTCGTTGCCATGGTGCAAACGTGACCCCAGCACTGTACTCCCAAAGGACGACTTGAAACCCTCAAACCCTCGTTATGAAGGTCAGTGTAAAATTTTCGGGAACACTTTCCAGCAAAAGCTCGGCGATTTGACCTACTTTATCGTAAGCCATCAAAAATTTTCTTAACCGCCTATTTTTGAGGTCGGCTCTGGTGCTATTGGCTGTGAGCATCTGAAGAACTTTGCAATGATGGGTATTTCTAGCCGGAATGGCCAACTCTTCATCACCGACATGGACATAATCGAGAAATCAAACCTCAACAGGCAATTCCTCTTCCGTCCTTGGGATATCGGCAAATGCAAGTCTGTTGTCGCGGCCCTAGCTGCAAAAGCCATAAACCCTGATGTAGGCCTCCAATAGTTATCCCTTATCTGGATTCCTAGCTTAATGTTGTGCCCCATGAAAACAGAGTCGGTGTGGAGACGGAAGCCTTCTATGATGATAACTTCTTTGAGTCACTGGACGGTGTCGCGAACGCCCTTGACAACATAGAGGCTCGAACTTACATCGATCGTCGGTGTGTGTACTACAGGAAGCCGCTGTTGGAGTCTGGAACGTTAGGTACAAAGGGAAATGTGCAAGTTGTTATCCCTCACCTGACTGAATCCTACTCTTCGTCTCAGGTAAGGACCGTTCTTTCCCTCCCCTCCCCTAACCGCTCTTGTAGGACCCTCCGGAAAAATCGATCCCAATGTGCACGCTAAAGAACTTCCCCTACCAGATCGAACACACACTCCAGTGGGCCCGCGACTTGTTTGAGGGGCTGTTCGTTCAGCAATCCCAGGCCATTGAGTCGTACATCAAGGTAAGACTCAGTTGCTTGTGTACCTTACAAATTTCTAGTCCCCGAGCGAATTTTTGTCCAAGGCGGCATCTGGCGTAGGCAATCAGCCTACTGAAATCGTGGACAACCTTAAAAAGAACATTCTTGATGAACGTCCTAAAAACTTCGATGATTGTATTGTGTGGGCCCGTAAACTCTGGCAGGTATGCTTTCTTGTCGATGTTTCTGCCTCTGCACCTGCCTCGTTACTGTCAAAAGTAAACCTAACCTACTTCACCTCTTTTTTTTCGCCTAGGAGCTGTACTCCAACTCGATTCGTCAGCTGCTCTTCAACTTCCCGCCTGACCACAAAACAACCACGGGCGCCCCCTTCTGGTCTGGAACCAAACGCTGCCCACACCCACTCGAGTTTGACGTCAACGATGTAAGTGCTTGTTCCCCTTGAGGGCTTCTGTAAAACCCATTAGCCTAAGTCCAACCTAGTATCTCCTCTGGCGCCTATTTTGACTCGCATTAGCGCTAGAACTCACTAGCGTGTGAACGATTAGTTCGATTTTGCACATGCTGCGCGTGCGCTGGAGCACAAGTCACCGTCAACGAGTGGAATAAACGCCAAAAATTTTCTGCTCGCGGCTTGCACCACGCGTCATAATTCATGCGCACAGCGGCTTCAACCAATCCTTCAACTGCCCTTGTCACTGTGCACGCAACAACGACAGCAACAAGCACTCGTAGTCCGCTAAAAAAAACCATTTTCGTTTCCAAACTGTCTAGTCAGTGGGTGTATGAATTTAGTAGATGTCGCCTGCGTGATGTCCTGATCTGAAATCAGGTGATCTAACGTAGTAGATGTTTACTCCAGACTGTTCTGATCACAACTCATCTCATGTCCCGAATATGCGTTTTAGCTTATTCAAAAAGGATTTCGGATTTGGGGGAATGCTGATTTCACCGAAACTACGGTAAAATGTGAACACGTCATCGTTATCATCCAATTCAGGTCGATTTTCACCCGTCTCATTTTGTAGTTTGCTTGCCTATTTTGTGGTTTTAACGATCAATTCTGTGTTTGCCCATCAGGCACACATTGGCATATGCAGGAGTGGATAGGTTTTCGTAAGATTACAGCTGTAACAAATTATCCCACAGTTTTGTGTGGTGGGAGGTTAGGGTTAAAGTCCCTGTTCGCTTCTGCGTTTCAGCCGATGCATCTTGAATTTCTGCTCGCCGCGGCGAATCTACGCGCCTTCATGTTCAACATTCCGGGTTCACGAGACCTCTCGCTGGTCGCTGCCAAGGCCAAGACAATTCGGTTGCCCGAGTTCGTGCCGCGCAGCGGTGTCACTATCGAGGTCACCGACTCGGAGATGCAGGCACGCGCGAGCGCTCGTGCTGGCGCGACTGGCACGCACGATTCGGCCTTCGACGAATTAAAGAAGTCACTGCCGAAACCCGGTGAGTTCTGCACTCCCCTCTCCCTCCCCCCCCAAGCATCGTTGGAGTTGCTGCGTAATTAGGCTACCACGGGTGACCAAGCTCACAAACCAGAGTGTGCGGCATACGGTTGAAAGACACTGCACAGGGTCGACAGTAAACACACCACTTCGTGTAGTCGACAGGTTAACTATGCTAAGCCCAACTTTTCTCCCAAATTAATTGGTTCTGGCCAATGTGCACACAAACATCTCTCCTCTTTATTCCGTTAAGCCGATCTAAAAGATCTGAGGGTGAACGTGGTGGAATTTGAAAAGGACGACGACACCAATTTCCACATGGACTTCATCACGGCAGCGAGCAATCTGCGCGCCGCGAATTACCGCATCGCACCGGCCGATCGATTGAAGAGTAAACTGATTGCCGGCAAGATCATGCCTGCGATCGCCACCACCACCAGCATCGTCTCCGGCCTAGTTAGTCTCGAACTCTACAAGGTTAGTCGACTTGTGTTACTCTTGTTGCGGCCCCCGATGGAACCACATCTGAGCCACCACCCGACCGACCAAATAGCGCGTAGCTTAACTCGTTTATTTACGCAGCAGTGGTGTGCGCGTGGACAAGGTAACAAGTCGGTTTATGTAGCCTTGCTCTACACCTGTCCCTGAACGAACATAGTTACGTGAAATGCCTTCTAGCAGATCTGTTGTATTCGGTGCGATCTCATTGGCCCTGTTCCACCCATCCTCCCTCCAGTGTATCGATTTTCGCTTGGTTCACGCCCCTCGATGCAAAAATTTTCCCCTATCACACACAGAGCCCTGCAGACTGCTTCCTACTCGGTTGCTAGGTGCTGCCTGTAACGCCCTTATTTTCAAATATCCAGGTGCTGTGATTGGTTGCTCTGTTTGTAGCTCGCTCAGGGTCACAAGGACCTGGAGCTCTACAAGAACACCTTCATAAACCTCGCACTTCCGTTCTTCGGCGCGTCTGAGCCCCTCCAGCCGGAGAAGTGGAAGTACTACGACAACTCGTTCACCATTTGGGACCGTTTCGAGGTGGATGGCGGTATGACGCTGCAGGAATTCTTGGATTACTTCAAGAACCAACACAAGCTCGAAATCACCATGCTCTCGCAGGACGTCTCCATGCTCTACTCCTTCTTCATGCCCCAGAACAAGCGCAACGAACGCCTCAAGATGCTGTGAGTAGGCTACTAGTCATGGTGTGGGATTGAAATTGCCTTTATTTACCATTTTGTTGTTGTTTTTGCTGTCTAGAATGCCGAAATTGGTGGAGACGGTGAGCAAAAAACCGATCGAACCGCACGTGCGCGCTCTCGTCTTCGAACTCTGCGCCACGGATATCAACGGTGAGGACGTTGAGGTGCCGTACGTTCGCTATCTTCTGAATCAACAGCCATCGGGCAACTAGGGCGGGAATGCCCCCTCCTGTTCCCCCACCCCCCCCCCACTCCTCACCCACTTCAACCTCCTCCTCCCCCCCTTCACCACCACGGCGGACCTGCAGGTATGCTATCATCAACTTGCGTTCTCCCCGTTGTTATGACTCTGTCGGATAGATGTGTTCTGTGCTGGCTGCTCATTTGGAAATACAGGTAAACTTGACTCTTGTGTTCATCTCGGTGGTGTTGGGGGGGGGGGGGGGGGGCACAAATTTACCGAGCCC